AGAAGTGTCCAACCCCAGCCAAACTTGACAAAATACACGTTTAAGACATTCCTCCTGTTCGAGAGATAGGACTGAGGAAGCGGTAGAAAATCGTGGATGAAGGAACCTGCCACAACAACGAACCAATAAAAGGCTACTTTAAAATGCGTCGGCATTAAAACCCAATCGTGGAAACCTTCCAAGTAAGAACGCAGGGAAGATTTCAAAATTCTCTTATCCTGCCGCTCAATCGTCATTTTTGGTAAAATCGTACCCAGTCGTTTTCTGATCTAACACATGTTTGAGAGGGAAGGACTGGGATTGACTCACTCTAGCGGACTGAGAAACATTTGTTATTGTTGACGAGAAAAATTTACTCCAGAGGAAATGCCTCATTTTATACGATGACATAAGAAAGAAACTTGTTCCCAGCTCAGTTTTAGTCAAATTAAAAGGCAGTTGCGGTCGTTGGGAAAACGACTGCAAAACTGAACACTGTCAACAGCCGTTGTTGTTTTTGTTGTCTTGTCTTTTTTCGCATAAGCGAAACGAGAGCATAAGGACGATCGTGCGGCGCACTGGACAGCCTCCGCGCCGAAGAGCATTCGCCTCGCATTTATTCTTTTCCCGACTCCGTTGCTTTTCATTCGCTCGCTGTTTTGTTCGTTTCCTGAGTTGCCTTGGATCGTTTACTAGCCGCTGTTCGGGAATATGAGCCCGTGTTCCTTTCCCCTTTTTTCGAGGAGGAGCAAAGACCTGACAAGACAGACAGATGGAAAACGAGCCTACGTGAAGCTTAGACCCTGACACAAACTACAATCGCGCGGGTGATGTGATATTTTTGCTTTTGACCCTTTCACGCCAAAGATCTTATTGGTAATTTTCTGTAGTCTGCCATACGATTTATATAATGTTACAACAGAGAAATTAGTATAGAATCAACTAATTCCTTAACTGACATTTTCCTTCACTCACCTCATTTGTCTGCTTGATACTGTATTGTGACTGTAAGGAGAAATTCAGTCTTGGTCACTCGTGGGAGTTAAAAGATTAATTGGTAAAAAGCCGGTTGAAGGTAACTTTGATCGGAGGAGAAAGCACAAGTTAACACTATTCAACCATATTCTGGTTTCATGCATACTCTCTCTAAACATTCTCCCCTTAGCAACTCAACCGATAACCAGTCGCTGAATGAATGCCATTTTGACATTGAACTGCTGTGGTCGTTGTTGATGTTTGTTTGTTTTTAATGACTCTCACTTTGAAAAACCTTTGGCAGTACATGTTTTACTTTTTTCGGCAGTAACTATTTACCAAATGAGTTCTCGACAGAGTAGAAAATCAGTTACTCCATGTGGCTTGAAACATTTTCTCGAGAAAATTCTGGTGATTTCTGGAACAAACAATCCCAAATTGAAATTTTTGGTTGCAGTCATTTTTACAATTATCAACAGACGCTGTGATCATTTAACTGAATAATTGAACACGTGTTTTTATTAACGAAAGGAAATATAGAGTTATTAAACTGCAAAGTTCCTAAGTGAGAACTTCTTATTGGCAGGGTGGCGCACACTGGATGTTTTGACGTAACGTCGAATTACCCAACCAGATCATGACTATCAACCTGTCTTAGTTACAATTTATTGAATTTATTGCGAACACATGAAGAGTTATCAGCAGACATTATGATACAGTCATTCCCTAGAATACAGTTATTAGTACAATACTAACTCTGTGTTCAACAACAACTCAAGTGAGAGTTGTAAAGAAATTTTGCGCCATAAATAACCAAAAACCTTAGCCATGCTGAAGTTAAAAACTGGCATCTCCATTCCTATAGAACTACGAACTAATAAAAGAAACCTCCGTCAGAGTGGACATAAAACTATTATCAGGCTATCCTCAAGATGAATCTGACGTATGTCTTGTAGGAGCATCACTAATAAACTGTTCGTCCTCCCCATCATCACTGTGAGACTTGTTATTACCGGAAGAAGTGTCGTCATTGGAACACGTGTCATTCCTGGAAGAAGAGTCATAACTCTAAGAAGTTTGACACGCGTCACTCCCGGAATCCTCACCAGGGCCCTCATCGTCATCGTCAGTGTCATTAATAAACTGCTCGTCTTCACTATTTGGTAACTCATCGTCACTAGACGACGTGTCACCACTAGAACACATTTCACCCCCGGAAAACGATTCACTGCTGCAAGACTCGTTTCCACTAGAATAAATGCTACTCATCAAAAATCTCATCTCCATCATCACGATCAGCGCAACCGTCATTTCCTTGATACCTTGTAACAGAAAGGCGGCTTTGAACATGGGGAAGTACATGAGAATAATTGAAGGTAACTCCAGACAAGTTCAAGTTCAATAAGATATTCATCGAGAGAGCATCAATGAGTGTAACAACGCCAGAATTATCAATCATATTATCCCCTAAGCCCAAGTTTGTCGACGTGGTAATCTTCACGATAATATTGTCCGTAGAAAGAGAATCAGCTCTACTATTCTCAATATGGTTGCTGCTCAAGTTTAAATCAGTCAGAGATTAATTGTTTGAAAGAGCTTTAGAAAGGGAAGTAGCACCAGCGTCATAAATATCACTAAACTGAACCTAAGTTTAGATTGGTCAATGTCCTATTGCCTGGAATAGCCTCAGCGAGGGAAGCGGCACCAAGATCACTGATGTCGTTACCTCTCAGGTTCAAAATGGTCAAAGTGGTACTGACTCTATGACCCACAGAGAAAGACTCAAGTTTAAATTTAATTTAGCTGATTTGTCTGAAAGGGCCTTGGACGAGACTCGGCCTCGGAGTCACGAATTACAAAGTTGCTTAGGTTTAAGTTTTTCAGCTAGGGTGGTATTGCCCGAGAGACTTTCAGGGATAAGATTCAAATGACGAGACTTCCTTAAGGATGAAGGTACGAGTTCGAGGTGAGACCCAAACTCATGCAGCAACAGGGGCCTCGGGCTTTTCTTGCTTTTAGCTCTTCCCTTATAAAAGAACAAGCCGACTCTACTCATCTTTTGATTTCTCTGAATCCATAACAAGAAGTATCGAGGCTTAGCAAGTTTGCATGTTTAGCAATAGTACGCAAAAGATGTATTGTGCTCTCCTCAGACTTTGAACTATAATTCCACTCGAGAAAACGAAAACATGCCTCAATTCACGCAAAAATCTTGCGTCAGTTACATCAATGTCCAAATCAGTGTGTCCAGAAACGACTTTGGATGCAAGTTCGAAACCGACGAAAAATTCTCGAAAACTTTTGTGCAGAAATCCATAACGGAAGCAAGGTTTGCGTCTGCTACCTCCAGCCTGGACAGAAAGAAACCCAAACTTGGTTAGAGCCCTTGTATTGCCTCCAGCAACTGCTCTTCCTTCAATATATAGCTCGCCTTTAAGAAGTGATGTTAATGCCAGCTACTCCAGGCACAAAAGATCTTCTTCGTACACTTGTGTAAATACTCACTTTCGCAAGGACTCAGAGGTCTTTTCTTTCTTTGATATCTCCTCAAAACATACTGCGTAATTTCAATGTACAATTTTGTCCTGATGGTTGGAAAATCATCGCTAAAATCCTCACACAGAATGCAGAGCAATGCTGTGTTAGAAGGATTGGGTATCGGTTTGCAAATCTGATCTTGACCGAATCTCTGTGAGAAGTCGCTCTGCCAGGTCTTTCTTCTTGCCAAAGTACTTGCGAGTGAAACTTTCTGTGTCGTTTTTGGCGAATCCTATTATCTCCCACGGAGTATCACAGCAGCGCCTTACTTCCTTTCCAGACTCATGTCGAGAAATGAAAAGAACAAGGCAATTTGGAAGCCGTTTACTTTGAGCGAATCTTATGAACAATTCTTGTGTGCTTTGGTCTGCTTCACCCAGGCCATCAAGCACTAACAAAACCTTAGACTGGTTTTCAGTAATAAACTTATGAAAGTTTGACTCCGATACTTCATCCGTTTCATCGGGAAGAAGTTGCTCATTGATGGCTTCCCGAATGTCAGATTTGTTATCACGACATCTTAGCAGTAGCAATAGAACAATAATTGGAAATGACTCGTCTCAGTTTTCTTGAATAGTTACCTAGTCATATGCCAGCTTTTGACAATATGTTGTTTAACCCATACCTGAGTCCCCTGCAATAAAAAACGGTTCGTGGCTCTTTCCATTCTTCATGTGGTTTGAAGACAGCTGTCATGTTGAAGATCTCTTTTTTCAGTTCTCCTCTGGTTTCATCTTTTCCTTCAATTCTGAGCCTGGTGAAAATCTCATTCAGATTGAAACTGAATTCTTCACACCAAGGAACTGGCAGAAGTTGTTCTTCGCGGATTTTTTACAGCTGCCGAATCCTCTCTATCCAATTGGTTGGCCCACAAAAATATCTACAAAAAATACTTCTTTAATGTAGTGATTTGACCTCAAAATTACTAAAGAATAAAATTTTGTCTTTCAAAGTATAATGGCTTGCAAAGTGAACAGAATTTTGGTGGAATTGGATTCATTTTAAATTTTTTTCACACAAGTTTACAGTTTTATCATTGCTAAGCTGAGATAGCCAACATGAAATTACATGTGGAGTATTTAAAGTCTGAAAGAGTATTTAACCTTTAAACCCCCAAGAGTGACTGGCATCTAATTTCTCCTTACAACATCACCCCTGAATCAAACATTCAGGTACTTAGAATAAAGGAAATGGCCACCGACCAGAAAAGCTCTGAATTATGAAACAAATTCTCCTCATCAGCACATCTGCTGAAAGCAAAGTCACTCTCTACCTTGCTTGGGCTGAAGGCTAACATATTGTTTTTCATGAATGTTCCTAAAACAAGTGGTTCAGTGTTGGTATCACTGTGATGGTCTGGAGTGATCATGACTTCACAACTGAGACTGCTGATCACCCTAATACAGGTCCTCAGTCCATTTATGGAAGCATAGAGGATCATTTGATCTCCCTTGGTGCTGTCCTTTTCCTTGCCTTCCAGGTAGTTAGGCCACAATGAATGTCCATTGACAAAGTCAAAAAGCTCTGTTCCATCAATCTTTGAGAGGACAAAAGGTATGCAATATGAAATAAATTTGCTTTTGATTTGTGTAGATGATCAAAGTTTGCAAATTGGAAAAGTGATTCGCAAGATTGATAGAATATATTATTTTGAACACTCTATTTTTCAACAGGCAAGTTGTGGAGTTTCACAGGTAAGCTATAATTCATTTGAAAATACAAGATGAAGAAGTTAACATCAAAATGAGAGTGGAGAAGACAAACCAAAATCTTCCATTTATTAATGTAAAAATAATCAAACAGGTTAACATTATCATTTCAAAACAGACCTTTCCCATGTAATCTGAATTAGCTCAGAGATGTCAATAAATAAAAAGACAAAACAATGGTTTTCACTCCCCACCCCCATCCCCTCTCCACTCCCTTGGTACAAATTTCTTTCTCTCTCCAACTTTTCAATGCCATTAAAATCAAAGATGGAGGCCATACTTTTCATTGAGAAAATACTGAGCCAAAATTGTGTCTGCTCTACAGGCTACAGAAAAGTTAGCTAGACATAAGGACTGATATGAGACAATAAACAACACTAAATAAAAAAGGCTTAAACTCACTTCTTGGATCCTCCAATTAGGAGACTTTTTCAGTTTTTGAGATTACCTAATTACAAATGAAGTTTTATGAGGGTAAGCCTCAAAATAAATTGTAAAAAACTCTCCCCACAAATGAACTGCAATGAAATTCATTGAGTAAAAGGGAGTCTGAAAAATTCAGTTGGGCACTACATTTAGTATCAGGGATCTTATTCAGAGACCAAGTTTTGATTTATTCTATATATAATTTTTGTGATTAAATTCACAGTTAAGTGAAAACAACTTCAAGTAGTCACTTTAGCATTAGGGACCTGAGGCAGTCCTGGTCATGGTGCATAGTATTACCAGACTCTGTAAATGATATACCAGGTAAATATCGCTATCACAGCCCCAAGAACTTTCTGAGAAAAAGTGTGAAAATAAATTGTGGTGAACACAAGCATGAACTCCCACAAGATTGAAAG